CGAAGGAGTGGGGGTGGTGGACGCAGCTGAATGAATTGGGTCCTCCTGACTGCTTGTCTCAGATCCTTTTCATGTTGACGGTTGGACTCGAAAGTCTTTGATGGTCCTACACTAGGAGCAGCCGATTTGCAGCAACTGTTTATCCAGGTTTCGTAGTCGATGTCGGAGTCTGTCAGAGATGTCTTCAACTGATCCTTGAAGCATCGTTTTGGGTCTCCGCCTAGCCTCTTGACATTGGTGACCTCTTCAAATTCTTAATACATCGCACAAAACAGAATTGGAAGAATTCAAAAATTGTTAAAAATGAAATAGAAATGTTTTAGGCGCTTCCCGTTTTATAAGTCTTCTGCGTGTAAAATAAGAAATGTTCACAATCTTCATCATTCTTAGTACAAAGATGTCGAAAAATTTTGGAAAATGAGAGCATATTCCTTGATTTCCTTTAATACTATATCAACAATGTTCATTCGTGTATTTTGCGATCAGATGCTGTCTGCGGATTAAAAACCTGATAAAGTCCCGAATAAAACGAACTATCATTGATGGCATGCCATCTGTTGCTCAAACAAAACTGTGATGTCTTTCTCTTTGAAAATATTCTCAACAGCCCGAATTCATTTTGCGTCTGTTTTCTAGTTGTCTGGCAAATAATAGTCGGAACAACATTCCGTGGCGTTTTTTAGTGAGTTTACAATATTTACTTGTATATATATATATATATATATATATATATATATATATATATATATATATATATATATATATATATATATATATATATATAATTTATGGCATCTTATTCCACCGTCTTTCTTTCATTTTATTCTTTGAGGCATCATCCTGATTCCATCCTACCAGAACTTGGTGATAAATTGGTTTAAGTGTTTTCTACAGGATTTCAGGGAATCAGAAGTCTTCCCGTTTAGAGACTTTTGTAGTAATTGGAATCTTGGTAATCCGAAGTTGTGAGGTCAGGTAGTAGTACACTTCAACCGAGCTATACCAATTTCCGTCGGGTCTGTAAAGACATGTGAGGTGTAGCGTTGTCCTGCTAGAGGATGATATCTTTTACATTGGACAAATCCGGACATTTTTCGTCCTTTACTGCCTTTAATCGATTCAGTTTCCTGAAGGAGCTCAAAATCCATAACGCCCTTTCAATCTCGCCAGATACACAATATTACATTCTTTGGGTGAAGACTGGCCTTTGGAGTGATTAATAGTGGCTCATTTCATTCATTGTCACATTATCTTGATCATCTACGAAACTAAAATATGCAAAAAGAAAAGAATTATTGATTTGGTTTGGTTTGGTTTGTTTTACGGCATATCAACCTCAGTGGATCATTTAATGCCGACAACTTTTTTTTCCTGGTAATATTTTTGTTTTGTCAAAAACCCATTTCTGCTAATATTTTTTTCTCAAAAATGTATAGCTGGTAATATTATTTTTTCAAAAACATATAGCTGGCAACATTATTTTTTCAAAAACGTATTATCAAAGGCTTTGCTGTTGGACGTAGTTTATCGTCTTACCCAGGACGTGGATGTAGTTTATCGTCATACCCAGGACGAAGAATTATTGACTGTCAGAATAGATTTATTTAAATGCAAGTTAAATTCTATTATCCTAAACATGTTGCACAATGATTTCCGTCGGTTCATGACTAAAATAAACAGTTTTAATAATTAGTTCAGGTGACTGGTAAAAAGGGTGAGCAGAAAATCAGTATACTTTAGTTCAATTGTAAGAATCTTTAAAAAAATTTAATATGGAAAGATTTTAATTGCTATTTTGATTAAAATAAAATTTATACTTGAAAAATTAATTTTTTTAAATATTTTTCATTTTCTCATTTCAAATAGAAAAGTTTCAAAATTCTTATTTTAATTTTTAAAAAAAGCACTGTCATTATCTAAAACGTTATTTATTAGTCATGAATGTTTAACAAACTTTCGAGGAAAATATTTGTATGTAGAAGTTTGAATTATTTGTTAGCGCAGAAAGCAATACATTTTTATTTTAATTACAGAAGGTAATATACGATAATTCTTAGAGAAAGTAGCCGCTCGTTTAATTTGATAACATCAGTTATGAAAAAGTTCACAACGGAATAGCCGTATTTGGACATCTTTGAAAATATCTAATAGTCTAGACGAAAACGATTGAAATAAACACTCTTTGGATAATTTTCTCACTCATCATTTCTAGAAATATAAAAGTTGATATTGAAGACAAAACGAATATATAAGTAAATAAACTAAGTAAATATTAAACAAATTAACAAACCATAAACGCACTCAAAAACATAAGTAAACGTAATAGTAAAAACCAACAATAAAATAATCAATAATAAAAAAAAAATTATAAATAGCCAAAAAACTACAGCGTAACCCACAATTATTTGTACTCAATAGCTCCTAGAATAATTTGAAACATAACCGTTACCGTCTACCAAAATAACCGTTAGAATAATATAATAGACAACTCACAATGCATCACTGACCTGTGTATATAAATAGTCGAGCAAAAACAACGTATATGGCCTGACGATTGCGTTTAGCATGAAACAGATTCTCTCCTGTCGGTGTTGACCTCAATGTCCATTTTTATATTTACATACGCGTTATCCCTGATATTGAACAATTTAACCCATAAATTCAGCATACCTTATAACTATATTTTAATATTATATATATATATATATATATGTATATATATATATATATATAATATCATTTGATGATTAGTAGGGATAATTCCAAGGATCATATAAATCCAAAGAGACTTCAATATAAGAACAGAGCAATATAAAAAATTCATTCGGTCAGGTGATAATTTATTTCGTCGACTCATATGTCCATCTCTTCAGACCAATTTTACAAAAAAAATTGGAGTTCAATTTATTCAACACACAAGGAAAACAAAAAAAGGAGAGAGAGAGAAAAGAGAAAAAAGAAAAAAGTTTATATTTAAAGGGGAAAGAAAGAAAGGAGAAAAAAGGCAGATATTTCAAGATAAGGTTTTGGGGAGAGAATGAGGGATAGACATGGGAAGAGGAAAGGGAAAGAGAGTTAGAGAGGGAAATAAAGGAGTTAAGCCAGTCGACAGGACTTGACAAGTTATGAAATAGAGTGGGCGAAGGGAATGATTATATACAAAATAGATACACTTGTATTTTTAAGTTTTTAGTTACTTAAAATGGTCCTTTACATATCTCTTTTTACTAATTTAATAAAAATTTTTGGAGGTTTTTTAAAATTTAAAGTTTCATTTTTTTTAAATTGATGTTATTTCGTTATATTGATGTCAAATATTTTAATGATATTATTATTATTATTATTATTATTATCAGTTTGTAATTGTAACGGTTATAAAGCGATATTGACAGTTTCGCAGCTGAAAGTGACTAGAAATTTCAATGTATCTATTTTGTATATACTTACTCCCTTCCTCCACCCCATTTCTTAACTTGCCAAATCCAAGAAAAAATATTTTCTGGGTCACCCTGTCGACTGGCTTAACTCGTTTCTTTCTCTCTTTAGCTTTCCTTCCCTTCCCCTCCCCATGTTTATTTCTGTTTCTCTTCCCCTTAAAAACCTTATATTGAAATATCTGTCTTTCTCCACTTTTTTTCTTTCCACAATTAATATTAAAACTTTTCCTTTTCTCTTCTCTGTCTTTTTTTCTTTTCTTTGTGTCTGAATAAATTGAACTCCATTTATATTTGTAAAATAGGTCTGAAGAAATGGCCGTGTGAGTCCACGAAATAAATTATCGCCTGACCAAATGGATTTTTAAGGATTTTGTATTCATTATATTCGATTATATTCGATTATATATATATATATATATATATATATATATATATATATATATATATATATATATATATATAATCATTTCCATTTAAAAATATGGCTTCACCGCTACACAGGAATTACCATGTTTCAAAACAGAAAGTAATATTTTAAATTCAATTATAAAATTAAATTTAAAATCCAAAAGCTTCGTTCCAATCTCAAGCGATTTTTGGAATAACCTATTAAGAAGTTTACTTCACTTATTGGTACAGACAATCTTAACAATTTAAATTGTTGAGGATACGGAAAAAATCAATCATTTTGATAAGGCGTGTTTGGGTTTTAATTTCCCTAGACAACTTATGTATTAAATATAAGTTATTTTCAAAATCAGGTTAAGTTAAGATGGGGTAGATGTGCCTGCTCACAAACAATGACATCCGTTTTTCGTATGTCATTTGGGCTTTTCAATGATAAAATGTAATATGTATTAGCGATTTAAATTGTGAGAGGTCTCCACGAATTTATTTAACCTGTAGAGCGAGACGATCCCAAAGAAAACTATAAAACCTATTTTGGCATTATTATTTGGCCGCTTAATTTATAATTTTATACACAAAGATTTCTTAAAAGGCTCGTCTGAGTATGATTACGTCGTATTTTTAATATTTAAAATCTATTTCTCCAAATTTAAAGTACTTTTCTACTTCTAATAACTAATAGACTATACTTTTTTTTTACAAATAAATATATTAGAATTACATTCGTATTTAAAAAAAATATTAAACAAAGATCAAGTACAAATATGTGCTTCCTCTTTTATCGCTTTTTCATAATTAAACATTATTTAAGGAAAAAAATATATAGAAAGTACATGACGAAGTCACTTCTAAAAATCTTAAGTAATGTAGGTTTCATAATAGGTTAATGACTGTAATAATTTTGGCTTAATTATTTAATTTCGGCTTGAGGTGAAAGGTGTATTTATATTAGCCAAAAAGGGAGTTCTTAACAGGGAAGTTAATTCGGCTTGTAGCGTTAAAGTCATTAACAAAGCATGGTTTTGCCTGGATAAGTTTTGCAGGTGACTATTGAAAATGAAATGCTGATAAGGAAGGCTTTTGTTGTTGTATTTGTGTTGATTTAAAGGGGTTTATGCTCGGTCGAATGGACAAGAGATTTTAGTAGATTTTTCTATGCCCACGCTTCGTCCTTTTCCTTTACAGTACTTTCTTCATAGAATTTATTTTGCTAATAAAAGAATCACCGTCTTCACTTCCGATTTAGTAATCTTATTCATTTCTTTTTTTTTTTTTTTTCTTTTTTTCAGTTTTTTTTCATTTTTTCTTCCAGTTTTTTCTTTTTTTTTTTCCAGTTTTTAAATTTTTTTCCGTTGGTTACATTCTTTCCGATTTTTTTCTTTTCTCTCTTACTCTTTTTCTCATTTATTTTACTTTCTTTTTCTTCACCTTTAAAACATTCCTTTCCTTTTTTTATTTTTTTTTTTTTTCATCGTTTCCTTCGTATTGTCTCCTTTTTTTCCGATTTTTTTCTTTTCTTTCTCTTTTTTTTTCTTTTTTTTTTTACTTTCTTTTCACCTTTCTTTTTTTAAAACATTCCTTTTTTCTTTTTCTTTTTTTTCATTTTCTTTTTTTTTCCTTTTATTATTTTTTCTTTAAACTCATCGTTTCCTTCGTTTTTATTGTCTCCTTTTTTGTGGCACTTTCTTCCTTATTTCCTCTTTACTTTTTCTTTATTATTTCTTTTTAGCGTTTTTTTTTTTTTTCTTTCTTTTTCTTTTTTGGTTGTGTTCTTTTTTTTTTCCTGTTCTTTTTGTCTTTTTCTCTCTTTTTTTCCTCTTCCTGTTCTTTTTGAGTTTGCTTTTCCTCTTTCTCTTTTCTCTTCTTTTTTCCTCTTCCTGTTCTTTTTGGTTTGCTTTTCCTTTTCCTTTTTTTTTCCTTTTTCTTTTTTGGTTTGCTTTTCTTTTCTTTTTTCCTTTTTTCTTTTTGGTTTGCTTTTTTCTTTTTTTTTTTTTTTTTCCTCTTCCTGTTCTTTTCTTTTCTTTTTTTTTCCTCTTCCTGTTCTTTTTGGTTTGCTTTTCCTCTTTCTCTTTTCTCTTCTTTTTTCCTCTTCCTGTTCTTTTTGGTTTGCTTTTCCTCTTTCTCTTTTCTCTTCTTTTTTTCTTTGGTTTGCTTTTTCTTTTTTTTTTTTTCCTCTTTCTGGTTTGCTTTTTTTCCTTCCTTTCTTTTTTTGCTTTTCTTCTTTTTTCCCTCTTCCTGTTCTTTTTTTTGGTTTTTCCTTTTCTTTTCTTTTTTTTTTCCTCTTCCTGTTCTTTTTGGTTTGCTTTTTTTTCCTTTTTTTTTTTCCTGTTTTTTTTTGGTTTTTTTCCTCTTTCTCTTTTTTCTTTTTTTTTTTGCTTTTCCTTCTTTCTTTTTCTTTTTTTCCTCTTCCTGTTCTTTTTTGGTTTGCTTTTCCTCTTTCTTTTTTCTTTTTTTTCCTCTCCTGTTCTTTTTTTTTTTGCTTTTCCTCTTTCTTTTTTCTTTTTTTTTTCTTCTGTTTTTTTTTGGTTTTCCTCTTTCTTTTTCTTTTTTTTCCTCTTCCTGTTCTTTTTTATTTGCTTTTCCTTTTCTTTTTCTCTTTTTTTTCTTTTTGTTTTTTTAATTTTTTTCCTTTTTTTTTTTATTTTTTTCTTTCTCTTCTTTTTTCCTTTGTTCTTTTTTTTGTTTTCCTTTTTTTCTTTTTTCTCTTCCTGTTCTTTTTTTTGCTTTTTTCTTTTTTTCTTTTTTCTACTTTTTCTCTATAGAATTTTTTCTTTTTTCTTTTCCTATTTCCATTTCCATCCATTTTGCATGACCGATACTTAAACGTTTGACTTCATCATTCATTATCTTTTCAAACTTACTGTTGTCTGCTTTTTTGTCTCATTTTTTCCTTCGTCATTCGGACTTGCTATTTATGTTACAACATATACTTAATAAATATACTTAAATACTTAATCTTTCTTTTTTATTCACTTACTTTTTCTTTTTCATATATGCTTTCTTGTAATTTTTCCTTTTTTTTTATTATATTTCTTATTTTTTATTTTTCTTGTATATTTTTTTTTATTTTTCTCTCCTTTTTTTCTTCTTCCTAATAATCATTTGTTTTATTTTTAGTTTTTCCCTGTCTTTCTTCTTCCTTATTTTTCCTATTATTTTTATTTTATTTCATTTTGGTTTACTTTCTCTTCCTTTTTCTTTATTTTTGTTTTCTCCATTATTTTTCTTTATCTTTTTTCTTCTCTTTCTTTTTCATCTTCGTCATCATTATCCTTTATTCTTTTAATTATTTTTTCTTCTTTTTTTTTGGTTCTCCTTAGCGTTCTTTTAGTTCGTCGTTCTTCTCATTCCTCAAATTTTTTTTCAATAACCTTTATTTTATTTCCACTCTCTCTTTCCCCTTTCATTCATTTTGCATCTTCTCATCTCATTCTTATTGTTTTCTCTAGTCTCCCTCCCTATCTCTTTCCATTCTCCCTCTCTCTTTCTTGTTCATCTCTATCGTATCTTTGCACTGCTGATTTTCCTTTTTGTCTCTTTCTTTTTATATTTCTCTTCAATTTCCTCCCAACCCAAATTCGGAAAATCACCATTTCTCATTAAAATGCCTCCCCCATCCTAGAGTCAATAAATCGCGCGATTTAATTCCGTTATTTGATCAAAACTATTCTCTCTTTAATTACTTGCTTTTTTCCAAAGTATCTTCACTGCATGTCTACGTTAAGCGTTCACTTAATGAGGTCCATGCTTTCGGCTGCATTTAACAGCTTCATTCAAATGACGGAGATCACGAACGAAATCTATTAGATACATTTGCACCAAACAATAAGAAATAAAAACAACACTGTACATTTTAATTCCATCCGAGCCAGCACATCTGACTTTGTAATATGTATTAACGATTTAAATTGTGAGAGGTCTCCACGAATTTATTTAACCTGTACAGCGAGACGATCCCAAAGAAAACTATAAAACCTATTCTAGCGAACATTACTTAATAATAATTGCAGTCTCTTTGAAAATTGTACGGTTTTCCAATGTTTTGCATTTCCTTAATTTTCTGAATTTAATGACTAAATACGTTCATTGCATTTTCCCCCGATTATAAAATACCCGTGGAATTTCCTCTGTTCTCTCAAACAGAACAGATTTAACAAAATTTTGCAGTGGCAATCAAAAGTATATATGCAGTCGTCACTGGGTGCCCCACACTTTCGGCCTTGTGCCACATCTATGTAAGCTATGTTTATTGGTTAGCAAGCTTGTCTCGCTAAAACAATTACGACTGAGCAGTGAGTTCGATCCTCATTGGGTGCCTCATACGTTCGGCCTTAGTACTTGTTTCTAGTGAAATTTTCCTATTTCTTAGTACTCTGCTTAGCTTTTGGAATGCTTCCATGGTTATCACAATACGTCTTCCGATTTCAGTGTGACATTTCCCGTCCTCTATGAAAATGCATCCCAGATATTTAAATTGTTTGATTTTGGTATCTCCGATTTGAAATTTGCACTTTGAACCCATCCTTTTTCTAACCACCATAGATTCTGTCTTCTTGAAGTTGATTATTAATCCTTTCTTCTTGCTTTCCTTCACTACCTTCAGTAGGAGTTTTTGTAACTTTTTTCTGTGTCTGCTATCAATACTGTGTCATCTGCATACCGTGTGTTGTTAAGATTGTGGCTTTCAATAATGGATCTTCGTTTGACTTTTAGTTCTCTCAGAAGTTTTTAATTTTCCTTTTGTCCCTCGTATTTGCTTTTCGACAACGGCTGATTAAGCGAAAATGTTTGGAAAGCGCTTTGGTCACTAGGTCGTCAGCTGTAAATTTGTGTCCAAGATTCTTTCAATGCTTCACTATTCCTTCTGTTAGCTCTTCTAATATCACAGTGTGGTATATTTAATAATAAAAGTGATGGAAACATGAACAAAAAGAATCTGACTGAAATCTGCTAGATTACGTACCCGCAACACATATATGAAAAAAACATCAGGTAATTTGATTTTTAATCCCCACGCTAAGTCTCTAATAAAAAATTCCCGAATAGTTATATTTAGGTATAAATGTATATGGTTAATTCGAAAATAACAAAGAAATTTTAATAAAATCTAGCGTTTTGGAGTTATCGACAATATAAGTTCGGACTCATTCGCGTCGCGGCTGCCATTACTGACATAGTTTGCGTATAATATATGGAAACAACGCCAGTAATGGCTGCGGATTTAACATTCACTTGTCTTGATGATTGCGCGGGTAATGAATCCTCAGTTGCGCAGTAATAGAGATAAGTAAGAGCAGTAAAAAGCCCCTTAAAAATCTAATCAGCAGTGAATGTATACAAACAACGCCAGTAATGGTTGCCATGCCGTAATGCAAATGAGTCCGAAATTTTATTGTCCATAACTCCTAAACAGTAGATTTTATCAAAATTTCTTTGTTATTTTCGAATAAAGCGCGGAGCTTAAAAAGCAAATTACCCACCAAAATCATCTTTAAATTAAAATTCCCAGCGTCGGTCTTTCGTGCGCATGTGTAGTCGCATTAACCTAAAAATAAAATTAATTTGATGGAAACCTAACGGACGAAACGCGTTACCTGAAAACCTTTTCCATTTTGCCATACATCTTTTGCCGAAAATATATATGTATATATTTGTATAAGTCTGTATGAAAGAAGCGTAAAAGATTGGCGATGTCTAGAATTATATTTTCCGCTGTAAAAAAAAAAAAAAAAAATAAAGTGTTAAATGGAGGCTAAAATTGAGAAAGGTGAATGTTTAATAACAAATTCATCCCCTAATCCGTCGTAATGTGGATCCACGGTTATACTTTAATAAAATAAACATTCCTCGGTTTATAAACGTTGCAATATCTTCAAGGATTAATTTTCTAGTGCTAAACGTAGCATAAACCTCGTAGCATCCATTTTAAGGATTTTGTCCTTGAATCCTGGTCGGTATTAGTTTTTTTTCTAATGAAACGGAAAATAACTTCTGATTTGATAGAAACACATATTTGCCTGCTCGAGAAATTCAGCCTGGTAGAAATCGGGCCGTTGAAAACAGAAGTCGAGGGAGAAGGTTGTGTAAATGGCGAGAAACAAATCCTCATGCCGAGTGAGAAAAGAAAGGTGATTTTGGAAAGGATAAAAGGAAGCAATAAACACGAAAGTATCAAAATATTTGCCAATGTTGTGGAAAAATATCCGGAAACGTATTGGCAGGAGTGAAAACAGTTGAATCTACTCCTTGTTGTTTACTTCGGTTAATGCTATATTTTATGCATAAAACTCCAAACATAATGCTTAAATAAGCATGAACAATGTTTGCATATGTATACATGTGTGCTTTACGATATATATCACGATCACGACTCCTGTAACTTTTTCGAGTCGTTGGGGGCACTTCACACACTACAGCCATAGTAGAAGTGGAGTGTCTTTGGTAAGATAGCCAGAAGGAGTTCAACCCTCTCTAGACTGGTTTGAATTCAGAGTTTTCCTTCTCCTAAGCAGGTTGCCACCCAAGACTTGGGAACACAGTCTGTCCTACTATTTACACATCGCTGGGGTAAGAGGAGAAGAGATACATTCCTACCTTTCCTAAGGGTAATTAGCACATAAGTAAATGCAATGAACTCGAACTGGAATTCGAACTCGGCACCCCGATTACTGAATCCGCGTAGCAATTCATTAATCCACCGATTATAAAGAGTGTTTCATTAAGACGGAT